TAGCTGCCTTCCCTCTAGTCTTACACTGCTAAATTAGGGACGGCTAGCGCAGATAGCCCTCGTGTAGCTTTGCGCGAAATTCCAAAACAAACAAACAAACACATCCAGTCTGTTTAAAGAAATGTTAAATGTAATAATTTAATAATAATAAATTCAATGGACTTTGTAATTTAATAGAGGGCATTTTTATGCAGAAGCTTGTAACTTTTTTTTATCTTGTATTATACTGTGTTTTACTATAATATAAATATTTGCTATTTATCCTGTGTTAGAAGTTTTACAGAAAAAACTTGTAAATATATTGGGTTGTCAAGAAATTAATGTGTAGATGAAAAAACCCAAACAACTTGTATATCAAAACAAAACATATATTAAATGAAATAGTCTTCATTCTTATCGATGATGCTTTTTCATCTTAAAATCAGGTTGTTAATGCCATGATTAAAGAAATCACTTAGCTTTGAAGCAAAAAAACATGTCGATGTCATATTTAACACCTTCCACATTTGCATACGTTTTCCCATTAAGATGGTGTTGCAGCGAACGAAAAAGATGGTAATCTGATGGTGCCATAGCTGGAGAATATGGTGGGTTGGGGAGAACTTCCCAACTCCATAATCTTGTGTTTCGTCAAACATACCACATTGTCGTGGAGAAGAACACTTTTCCGATTAACGAGTGAAGGGCTTGATTTAAATGTTCCAGTTGGTGACTATAGATCTCTGCATTAACAGTTTGCTATGGATTGAGGAGTTCAAAATGAATTACTCCTTTGATGTCCCACCAAATGCAAAGCATCACTTTCTGCGGATGGAGTCCAGATTTTGGGGTCGCAAGTGGTTTTTGTCTAGGACTGAGCCATTGTTTTTGGTGTTTAACATTTGCATAGAGAATCCATTTTTCATCACCAGTGACAATTCTATGCAAAAATGGTTCACTGGCATTACCCGCCAGAAGAGATGAAGCAACATTGACACGTTGGAAACGATGATTGTCGGAGAGTTCGTGAGGCATCCAAATACCTTCTTTATAGAGTTTTCCCATATTCCTTAGTTGTTTACGTATTGTTTCATGAGAGACATGCAATTTCAGGAC